TACGTGCGAAACATCAATTTTCCTTTTTTCTGTTGCAAACATTTGCTTAAAAGTTTCTTGCAACTCCAGTAACTATAATCAGAAATGTCTTCTCTGTGCAAGGCCGTGTGGTAAGTTGAGTTAGGCAAGTAAACAGTCTTCCTCTCACTGCTTCTCTTAGTTCAGTTCTATCAGGATGAGATTTCATTTGTGTAATTCCAGCACTTGATGCAAATTTATTTTTGTCTGAGTAGTTTTTGTACTAACTTTTAAGTGAATTATTAATCCTATATTTTCTTTACTTTTTTCCCCCTTGCTTTGGAGATACTGAAAACAAAGACTTTGGGTTTTTCCAAAGCATTATTTCCTAGTTTTGTTTGTGTCTTCAAGCAGAAGAGGAAAACATGCTTAATTTGACTGTCCTGTGCTTGCCAAGAAGGATTTCACTAAGAAGTACAGTACATCCCATGAAAATGTACAACTCTTGTATCCAATTTAAATATAGAGGATTTAATAGTGTGGCTATTTCTTCTACAATAAGTAAAAGTACTAACAAGGGCTTCAAGCAGAACCCTTATTTTAAATGTGACAGCACTTTTCTTACCCTGTCCAATTAAGTTGTTTTATTTAAAATCATAGGTCTGAGGTTAAACAGAATTTCTGCTTTTGGCTCATGAAGAGATAGAAATAACTACCAGTTTGCAGAGTGTTTTTATATTTTTATATATATATATATATATATTTGTTTGTGTGTATCTATATATAGTGTGTGTGTGTGTGTGTGTGTATATATATTCTTGCTAGAGCTGCAAGGCTTTACCTTGCCCTCGGGAGCCAGCTAGTGTGACACATGCTTCTGTGTCACTTGATGCAGATGTGTGGCTGCACAGACTGTGGGACTTTGTCTACTGCAGCTGCTCATTACTGCCCATTAGCTGTAGATTACTGCTTCCCTTGCTCTCCTGGTCAAGTGGTTTGTAGGAGCACTCTCTAATCCACAAATGTATCTGGGTTAGCTCTTGCCACTTACTTAAATTGTCTAAACTGACACGGCTGATTTTTGCCTGAAACAGATTAGGGAATGTGCCCATGACTTGTGCTGCTGTCAGGACTATGGGGTCTGTAATTCTTGACAGAAAGGAAGAAACTAACAGCTGGGACAGTAATGCTTTTGACTGCTGTAGCTGTTCCGAGGCTGTTGCAGACCCATTGTGATGTATACCAGCTCTGCATGGTGCTGGATACCCTAGTAGTGCGTACTTGACAGGGTTGCGTTTCTGCTGAATTAGCTAGAGTACGAGATACAAAGTTTTTATTAGCTTTATGCCTTTTGTAGCATGACAGATGACACCTAATCTGGCATGAAGTTGAGTAGTGCTGGCAAAGAACTTTCGGGCCATAGCAGTTGATGATGCAAAATTAACTCACTGACACCTTTTATCCTACCATAATATTAATTCAAAAAGAGTTAGGCTAGATGAACACTTTGTATCAAATGGGTGTAAAATTGGTTCTGTCTTACCTGCTTTGAGCTCAGTTTCCTATGTGCTGGAATCGTAGACTGAAAGAATGTCTGTTCACAGCCTGAGTAACACAAAATCACTGAAATGCTGTTTGATTTGGTAATAGATGCTTTAGAATTAGATTTAAATTAGCTCTAATTATCCACTCATTTTACTCATTCTTTTCCAACTGTGGCTGGTCACTCCAGCTTTATTATATTCTGGTAAGACTCTACATTAGGAATGCTTATCAAATACATTTAGTAGGTACACAGTGGTATTTGCAGCACCAGAAACAATTGGTTTGCACCAGAAATACACTTAGTGTCAGGTCTTTTCTATAAAAACCAAACCACTCAACCAACACCCCCCCCCACCCCCTAAAGACCCCTATGAGCCAGTATGCAGGGTTTTTAAACCTATATGTTCGTATAGCATATGTTAGCATAGCTCTTCTTTGTTCAGAGTCAGTTTAAAGTAAATGGAGATGCATTCAAACTAAAATCACAGTTACACAACTTTTGGACTGCTTAAATTGCTTTAAAATTCCCAGTGAACTTTAAACTGCAGTAGCTCTTTCTGTAAACAAGCTTTCAGATCAGGGTACTTTTTTAAATACCTAGGTAGAATAAGGATTTGTTCCTATGGGGGGGGGAATGAATGCTTTTATCTATGTATGTAACATGCAGTAATTTTAAAATATTTTGTTGCAGATAAAGTGAGTGACTGATTACATGTGGTAATACCAAATGTTAGAGTTGAATGTGAATGTTGACCTTAAAATCAGTGTTTAGTGTGTTGTCACTTCAACCACATTCTGTTGTTTGGGTTTTTTTTGTAGTTGGGTCAGTTTTTTGTTTGTTTTTTTTTTGTTTTTATAACTTAAATCACTCTTTTGCTCAGAACATTGTAGGCTGTTGTGTTTGGAAAATATACACAAATTTGCAACTGTAGTTTTGGATACCGCTGCTGTCAGCAGTAACTGTGAGCTTGGTGCAGCTCTGTATGTGTGCGTGCAGGAGAAACGTCCTGCAGCACCATGTCTTTAGCTCTAATGGCTAGGTCCTGTTGCTCCTCAAACTGGGATGGATCATCCCACTTCTTTTTCCATTTCATTGCATATCCTCACTGTCTAGGCTGGAATTCACTTCTGTCTTCCTTACTTTCTGGATAGTGCCCTGTGTTTAGCCCCACCAAATCAAGGGAGACCCTACTTTAGAAGCCTGTTCTCTGCCTCCCCTTGCCTGTGTGCTTGCTCTCACGTCACGGACTGGGAGAGAGGTCTCCTCTGCAGGCTGCCCCAGCTAGAGGGTGTCACTGCCTGTGCGGGTTCAGCTATAAGCACATTGGAAAAGAATTCTTAATCCCATTTTTGACAGGAATGCAGAGTCAGCTCCTAGCTGCTCTCTACTGCAGTTTGGGAACCTCATTTTTTTGGGTGTGTTGTGATGTTTTTGTGTAAATGAAAATAAAACCAACACACATTTTTCTCTTGTTTTCTGCACTTCGTAAAGAGTGTAGAAGTTCTGCTTCCTCAACGTAACTATTGAGGCTTTCACGAATTGCAGCTTTCGGATCTGAACTTCTAAGTTCATTAACGAATACAAATTGTCTTACTGTTAGGATAATTCTGTAAGTACACTATAGAGCATGAAATGGTGTAGTTCACAGAAGATTAAATTATTCTCTTTTGGATGAGTAAAGTTTATTTAAAACTAATTAAGATGACAGTACTTTGAACTGCTACAACTTTTCTCCAGTTCTATTATTTCAAGACAAGGAAACCAATTAAATAAAAGTGAAAGCATAAACATAGCATTTTAATTTTCAGGAGTGAGTGCCTAGTATGTGTTTTCTACCTAATTTTTTTCAGAGAAGGTTACAGAAAATTACCCATTTGTAATTGTATAAATATTTGTACAAGTATTTGTGCTGTCAGATATATTTTAGCAGCAATAACAATTACGACTATGACTACTTCTCTAGTTAATTTTTAATAGAGTTGTATCTGTAGCATTTATATGGCATGTCTGTCTAGGATAAATATATTTAGGCCTACTGTTACTGTGAGATTTTGCATAGATTTTCTCTTTGCTCAGAAAAACAATGTAGAAGCTTTTAAAGGAAACTTGGAGTCAACTCTGATCTGGTTTAGTGCTATTGCTAATTTTTTACTAGATTTTTAGCAGATTGTAGTGCACCCTGTAGCTGTGTTTTGTCCAAGCTTTAAAGTGATAATTTTGATGGCAGGAACTAAGTTACAGTTTTGGTTCAGGCATGTACATGTCTGTGTGAGTAGGCACATAGGTAGAAATAATTTTTTTTTTTTTTTTTTCAGGTATTCATTTGGTTTCTTTTGAATAGTTTGGCAATACATTGTTCTCTCTGACAAAAAATTTGACTTGACTTTTAAAGGTTTTTTTTTCATTTACGATAGGAAAGTAGAGTATTCAAGTTGTGTTCATCTGTAACATTTGCTTATATTTAAGATATATTGAGTTTTTTGGTTGTTCATTGAGTTTCATATGTTTGCCTTAATGAAGGGTTGTAGAACAATTTTTGTCTAGTTCATTATGGAAGCAAGCCCAGCTAGCTGGTGTTTCTTTTGCTTTTCTATAATTGTGAGGTCCATAGTGTACACCGTAATCTATAATATTTTAAAAGTTATTTTTAAACTGTTTGCTTTTTACATTTATATTGTATATGATTGTGACTAATTGACTAAGCCAGACTTTAACACTTAATGTTAACAATAAACTGTAGACAAGGCTTAAATTCCGTGGTACTAGTTTGGCTTTGGCATTTCTTTCCTTTCTGGATTCTGGATTTGCAATTCCTTTACTCATTTTTTTTTTTAATTTAGCAGTTACATTCTGAATTATTGCCAAGTATTTAATACCATTTGGAATTTCTGTTGCTTCAATCCTTGCTAAAGATAACCTAACATCTGCATCAGCAATAATTTAATCGACAAAATACATATGCTTGTTTGACATACACCTCTTAAAGTCTTAGCATTCTAGCACATCTCTCTCCAGTATTCACGAAGCAAGCAAATTTCCTTCTTCTGATCCCAGGTCAATAAACTGTGTTTTACTTTGCTGTAAAATATTTTTTCTGCAGGAAAAAAAAAAGTTATTTTCAGACCAATTAATGTGCTTTGAAACTCCTGTATTCCGGTGAAAAATAACTTCACACACGATGGCTTTCTTCATGTAAAGCTCATACAACCAGCTGTTGAGTGTGTAGCTTCATGTGATGTATATCACTCTTCTCATAGTGGGGCTTGGATGGAATGTTCATTAGATTTAACACATTGCTGCTGACACAGGAGATTATTTTCCTCCCACTTGGGAGGGCCTTTCCTGTTTCTTGCTCTAACTCTGCTCAGCTGGTGGTACATCTCCTTGGTGAGCTGATTCAGGCCACTGAGCTGGCAGGGTTGCTTGGCTGGTTTGTGTTTTTTTGTGGATAATATCCCTGGGGTAGTGGGCTGACCAAGGCAGCAGGCACAACTCGGAGGCTGCATCAGCCAGTGTGGAAGTACTGTGGAGGGGAGAGAGCATGTTGCAGAAGCATGCAGTTGCAGCGAGCTGTTGAATCACCTGTTTGTCATGTTGACTATGCCATTGTCCCTTTGCTAATTTTCAAGACGGTGTTATTTGAGCATGGGAGGTATCATTTTTAGGATTCTGTTTCTTCAAAAACATTTTTTTCAAAATATTCCTTTTCAATGGTATAGGATACTTTGTGTATCTTCCTTGCACTAGAGATACCAAAAACACTGTGTCCAGTTCAGAAGGTGATCTCAGCTGTAGCTTAACTTCCCGTATTCATTGGCTGTTGCTTGTATTGGCTTTTATAACAGTTACTGTAAAAGAAGCCCGTTTTTGATGTTGGATAATATCCCCACTTTGCAAGCTTCCCCTGTGGAATAGAGAAAACTTTGGACTCTGGTCCTCTGTATTTATATGGATAAACCAGTCTTTGAGGAGCTAAGATGTGGTGCTTGTTGTACAAGAGCTGTAAAATAGATTCGTGTAACTCTAAGTCCGTCATAATGATGTAACCTGTTTTTGAAAGTAACAGTTTAAAATTGTAAGTGTATTTACAGTGGATGTGTGAAACATAATGTGTTTTGAAGTGCCTGGGAATGTTTTATTTCAAAGGCAATACCTAATCTATATAATCCTAATTTTAAGATTTTTTTTTCTGTTGTTTTTAAGAGTACCATCTAAAATTATTGTTTAATAGTAGTTTAGGATAAAATATTTGCTCAATGTCCTCAGCGTGTTACCTCCAGGTATAACTGGTTTCTCTAAAGACTCATGTTCTTTGTAAATTTTAGGCTGAACAACAAGGGAAATTTTAAAACTAATATTCCAGAAAGCTTAGTGTGGTTTGGCAGTTAACAAAATAAATCTTGCCCTTCTCAGAATGGCTTTTATGTGCTTTCCCCACCCCCTTCCCCCCACTTGTTTTTTTTAAATTCCTTTATGTTGAATTGAAGGTTGGCTAAGAAACTTGGGGTTGTTGATTTGCAGAATGGATATGTTTAGTATTGTTTGACTAGCAAACATGGAACTTTACTGAGCACTTAATGCAGGAACAAATCTAGCACCCTGTTCAAGATGCAAGATCTTGCTATTGTATCTTGGTAAGAAGATCTGGATTGTCTTTGACTTCATATAGATAAGTATATCTGAAGTTGGAAACACCATCTTTGGCATTTCTGACTTACAGAAATTGTATTGCTGTGGTGGTGGATTGGGAACAATATATTAAGAAATAGGTAGCAATTAGTGAAATGATACTCTAATAAATAAAATGTATGAATCCTAAAGATATCTTTTGAATTTTTTTTATTCACTGTGACAAGAGAATTCCATTCCTATGTGTGTAACAAGTACAATTACAGCAGGCAATTCCTTCAGATCCACTTTCAATTTCATAGCAGTGTGGTTCACTGACTTGGGGATCTGACATTTAATGATGACTTTTGTTTAGCCTTAGATTCTGGGGCATCTTAAGTGTATTTTGAGAGCACTTGTTTGAAATGCTAGGGATGGAAATGGGGGAGTTATGTTTTTGACCTTCCTTGCATCTTGTATCAGCTACTGGGCAAAGCCAAATGTCTCACAGTAGAAATGCTTTAATGCATTAACTGGGCTGTGACACTAGGCATATACAGCTTTTCACGTACGGAAGAATTTTGCTTGAAATACTTTGCTTGTCATGTAGTACATGTCTCTATTGAATTAGAGTGGTTTTGCTCACAAGTTCTAGTGGGTTAGCTAATATACTTTTAGTTCAAATGGAAATATTGTATGGCTGTCTTTGATCTCTGTCAGCTGGTGTGTGTCCAGCTTCTGAGATTCTTGTTGGTTTGCATGCTCTGTGGCTGGACAACAGTTAAATTTTTTTTTTTTTTTTTGGTAAATAACTTATTTTCCAGTTTTGTCCTTGACACATTTGTAGCAAAAATAGCAGATTTAAAAGAATAGAGAAAAATTAGTTTGTCACTTTTTCACAACTGAAGCAAACTCAAGTGTTTTATTTTTGGAGCATGGAAGCAAAGTTAACATCTACGCTATGGTATGGTTTCTTTCATGAAGTATCAGAATATTTTATTTTTGATGTTATTGGCTCTGGTCTTAACAGCTGCTGTATTGTGAACTTTGGTTCATTATACAAAAGTCATGTTTCAACTGTGTAAGTGTATTCCAGTCTCTTAGTTTTTGCAAGGAAATTAGTGCAAAGGGAAGTATGTGCGTGTTAATAAAATTATCTCTTTTGAAACTTAGCATTTTTAGTAATGGTTTTAGAATCTTACATGGTACTTAAATTGATTTTGGAACAGATGGAACAGAAGGACTGGGTAGCATGGAAATTATAATGATACCCAATTTAAAGGAAAAAAGTTGTAAATATTTATTTTTTTAGTTTTCTTAATATAATTTTGTATTTAGCTATAGTTCTATTTTGCTGAGGGTCATCCATGCCTTAAGAAAAATGCATATGTAGGATATCCCTTGCAGATTTCACTTACTGATTCCACTCTGTGTTCAAAATGTTGATACTGAAAAAGTGTTGAGATAGCTTTTATTTTATAGTAGTGTGATGATTTTATTAAACGACCTGGGCATGTGAAGATCTCAGTTGTTACAGCTGGAAATGAGAAAATTAAAATTTTTTTCTTTTTTTTCTGCCCCCCCCCCCCCCCCCTTCCAGATTTTCAACTGAATTCTCACCTATCAACACTGGCAAATATTCACAAGATTTACCACACCCTCAATAGGCTGGTAATGACTTGCCATTTTCTCTCAGCAGAATAGCTAGGGCTCTAGTCCAGAATGTTTTGTGATTGAAATCATTAAGTGATTACACTTTTAAAAACTATGACTGTCTTTTTGTATGAGAAGCTGTTGGTTTTGAATCCATTAAGAGATAAGCAATATTAGTAAAAGGTGAAAGATACTCTGGGTGTCAGAGTGGAGTTTGAGCACTGTTCACTGCAACATTGCATTTAGATGTTGTCTCCATAGAAGAAGCTTTCCTAGATGTATCAAATAATGATAATCACCACCATTATCCAATTTCTTACAGTTCTTGTGCAAAACATATTGAATGACCAAGTTGTCCTCTTACAAGCACGCAAAGAGTGAAGCAGGATTTTTTTGAAGACTCCCTGCTTGTTCGCTGTGCACTTACATTTGTTTTACTGCAGCCATAGCTGGAAATGCCAGTATGGCTTCTGCTTGTACACTGCAAATTTAGTGGAAAAGACACTGCCTAAAGAAGGGAGTAACCTGTTTGCAAGATTTCAGTTGGTTTTTATTCAGTTTTCTTTAGGACAAATGTGTGTGTTTATCCTTAAGCAAAGCCATTTCTGTGGTAAATGGTAAATTCAATCTTTCTAATGCTGCATTTATTAATGGAATTGTTCAATACAACAATGCCAAATTCCCCATCCAATGGATAGTTATTTCGACTCTTGAAACACAGTTTGATATGTTTTTGATAAATAAATAATTTGAAAAGTATTTTTGGATTTTTAAGATTATGCTTGAACTTTTTAGATAAATTTGCAAGGCGAACTTTTTAGATAAATGTGATCTGAAAACACAAAGGCTCTGCAGTCTTAGCTAGATGCTCCTTAAGTAATTAAGATGAATATTAATATAAAATAGAGGTTAAAAACATCACTGAACAATGAAGATTACCATCTGGTTTAACTATATCATTCCTACTCTTTTGCAGAATCTGACAGAGGACGCTGGTCAAGACGATCACCAGACAGGTATTTAATAGGGATGTAGTAGAAATAGATTGAAACAGTTTAAACATGCATCGTCAAAGAAGTCTCTCTGACATCATTGAAAATTATAGTCTAGAAAGCTAAAGGAGTTTTAGAAAACAAGTGCCTGTCATTTTACTGTTTCATAGTGTAAGTACTTTAGAAGACTTCATGAAAAATTTCTCTCACTCCTTGGACTCAACCCATTAGACTAGCAGAATATCCATGTTCTTACAGTGTTTTGACTCTTGAAAGTGTGTTAGTGAGAACAGAGCAGAAGCAAGACCTCTTGTGGCTATTGTGATGCCTGTGACCGAGTTTAAATGCTGTGCTCCAAACCACCCTGCTTTTTTCTTGAGTAGTTTTGATGCAGGTTGTTCCTGTTTCTTGTGCAGATTTTCAGTCAGTGTCTAAGGGCTATTTATTAGTCCAAATATGGTTTCTGTTCAATAAAATGTCATCATTTTTTAAGGCTTTCATCTCAGGTGCTTGGTACTAGCTTGCTGCCATTCTTGATTCATCAGCATTTGTGCTTTGTGACTTGGTATCTTGCAACATTTGTTACCTCCTTTCGTGCTTGTTACTTATGAGCTGGCATCTTCCTTGATTTCTTTTTCTTCCTTCCTTTCTGTGTTACAGGCGTGATACCTAAAGGAGGAAGGAAAATAACTTACTGGCTTCAAGCCCTGATCACTCAGCAGAACTGTTCTTTAAAACTGACTGTATCTGTCCTACCATCTGTCTCAAAGTTTTTCTCTTTCCTGAGGTGTTGGCTATGTTTGCTGATGTTACCTTGAACACTTAAAGAAGTGGAGAGAGCTGTCAGCTCCTCCTGGAGATTTCTGGGACACGCTTATAAATCTAGCATACTCTTAGCCTAGAGCAATGAGAAGAGATGCATAGGACTGCATTGTTTGAGATCGTACAGGGCTCACTTAGGGCTTAAGTACCCTCCGCCATGCTGTGGCAGGTGACTTGGTTTCATTGTTGAACTGTCTTACCCTAGCCACAAAAGGCTTCTGTCGAATGTTTTCCTTCAGTGTAGTTAGTGATTTGATACTTGAAATAAGCTGATCATGTAAATGAGAAACTCCTGCAAAAGAGGTTGAGTCAGGTAGTTAAAGACGATCAGAGGTTTTACTGCATGGGACTTTACGCTTCTGAAATAACGTTACTGGACAGTGTTATGTAAACCTAAAAATAATTATGTTTGCAAATTATTTGATTTGGTTGTGCCTAAATTTTTGGAAATTCTATTTTCCAGTATTACTTGACTGCATAGTAAGACATGTCAAGACCTATTGATTTTGTTATGCAATTTATAGAACTGCATAGATGGTGTGAATTTGAGATTCTATGTCCAGAACTCATTTGAAAGTCATGTTAATAACTCCATCATAAAAGATTCTTTGAGTGTTGCCAAACCCATCTAAAGATTATTTTTTTTTTACATTCTGAATTTTCTGGAGTAAGCCTTATCCTTAAAGACTCTATTTGTTTTCTGACATAACTATCCTGGTTAATGTTATTACATTGTTGTCCCTGCTATTTGCATTAATAAATGAATATCTAAATTTGAGATTTCTAAAAGCTATTTTAAAAACCTGAGTATTTCAATTTTACGTTAATACTTATAATGAGCTTTTAATGCATATTACACATATTTCAAAGCAGTTGTTTCTGAGCTAACAATAAATGTACTGGACATCTAAATTACTTAAAGCAAACTATATCTTTTCTAAGTATTAGACAGATTTCTTTTCTGGAACCAGATCTTAAATTTCTAAGAGCTAGAGGGTGGCAGTTTCAGAATTCCTTCAGTGATTTGGGAGCTAAGATGGATCTTGCTTCAAAATTCCAGTCACTTGTAATGATTACAGTGTTATAAAATGTGTTGGCATTCTGTTTGCATATATATCTGAAAAATAAGGTAGACTGTAAATGTGTCGTGGGCCTGTGCCTTTCCAGCTGTTTGTAGGGGTAAGAAAAGCAGGCATTCAGATTCTGTAAATGATTTCTTTTTCTTCTAGTATGTATGTGCATTAACTTGGAAAACTCTCTAGAAATTGAAATAGTAATTGGTTTTATGTCATAACTACAAATCTAGCAACTTTTTAATAGCTTAAAGTCATGATTTGGTTATTAAATTGTGACTTAATTGCCTATCCAGACTGAAATGTCTTTACAAGTAAAAGTACACTTCCTGTTGTCATCTGGCTTGTTTAAAAGAACGAGGTAATGTCTTCAACAAAACCAAGGCTTCATTGCTGTTCTTGAAGCTTGTAAGGGGCGGAAAAATACTTTGGCCTCTAATTTTTTTTGTTATTTTAGAGAAGAAAACCCTCTTGAGTCCAAAGCAATTCTGTAGTGTGGAATTCAAGATACAGAAGATGATTTTTCCTTTTACAGCAAGATTGCAAGTTGTTTGATGTTTTGATGAGTATCTTAGTTTTCTCATCTTGTATCTGAAAAAATGATGATTGTTAATGGTGCTTGTGGTGGTCTTGTTGCATCATTAAGCAAGCAGCTATATCTTTCCAATTGCTTCAGCATTCACAGCTTCTAATTATTTTTCCTTTGAAACATCTCTCTTCGTAAGCATCAGAAGAACAGGATTATTCACAGGCATTTTCTAGAGAGAGGGTGAAAATTGCATGTCTGTAAATCACTTCTGTAGGGACACAGCTTGTAGAATTCTTATTTATTGACCCCTATTTTTTTGTTTGTTTGTTTGTTCTGGTTTTGTTGCTCTTCTAGGAGTGTCCCTCCCTTGTGGTGACTATCTTGCATATTGTTTTAAATTTCTTAGGGTGAATTTTAGTTCGAGTTGCTATTTCCTGTTGGTAGCTTTGTCTCCTGCAAATTTGGAAGTACTGAATAGAGCGTTTGGCAAACAACATTTATACTCGGCAGGCTTTTGGCTGATGGTGGCCTATTCAGCAGTCATTTGGAGGCTCTACCTTGCAAATGCTAGCTTCAAGTGTCAAAAAAACAGTGAGAACTAGGAGGGTTCTGCCATTCTTGAGTTAAGACCCAGGAGTAAGAAACTTTGAAGATAATCACATCAGAAAAACTGCACTCGGTAAGTAAAGTTCCTGTCAAACTTTGCATGAAGTCAGAGGGAGCATGTTTGTTGGCGGATGATCAGACCTTTGAGAGAACTGAAATCAGTTGTGAAAGGCAGGCATAGAAATTACATTTAGAATTAGAAAACTCTGTCTAGGAAAGGTTAATATTGATGATACTTAGTGAGCTATGCTGTAAAATAAGAAATGGCAAGAATTTAAACACCCCCCCCCCCCCCCCCCCCGAACTCTGATAATTTTTACCTTTAGATGGAAATTAAAGGTAGAAATATTCTGCTGGTTTAACTTCCAGGGTTTGTTAAAGGGAAATAGTAACTGCCTTTCAAATTCAATATACTGATTCTAGTAACAAAAAGAAATACTTTTAAAGCAACATTCTTGTACTGTGTTTTTCTAGTAGTTTAGAGATCATTCAACAGTTAAGGCATAGTGGTCCAAACCTCAATTACTAAGATGTTAAATCTCTGAAAGCATGTACAATAGGTTTGTCTACCTGGTGTCTGTGTGTGTTTGTGTGTGAGGGGGGTGTACATGTGCATTTAATAGCCACTTACCAATTTCTGAGCTATCTCTTTTCTTCCCTTTTCTGTCAGTTTGAGAGCTGCAACTAGATACATTCAAACCAAGAAAGGGTACAAGTTTTTCGTATGAGTCATTAGAGAAATTGGGTTATGGTGAATTCTATTATCAGTTTAAGCCTTTAAACCCAGTTCAGCGATCTTCCTTAAAATGCCCTATCATTTAATTAGGAAAAGACTTGAAGCAGGAATTCTTGGGTTAAATTCTTCGGTTTGTGTGGGGTTGCAGATCTGACAAAATGATTTTCCTGTTCTATAACTGTATTATTTTTACTTTCTTATTTTTTTAAATTTTAATTTTAATTTCTTTTATTTTCATCTTTTGCTATGCTTCTCTTTTCACAGAGGCCTTGCATATTTCTTTTCCCAATCAAATAACTAGTAAACTGGGCGAACCGGGGGGGGTGGGGGGGTGGGGCGTGGTTTTTATTGCATTTTACCAGCATCCAATGCCTGTGGCCATCATAGATTTTTTTTTTCCTTAACATAGGAAGGCAATTTAAAAACAATCAGATTGCTCTGAAGGGAATGAGATAGCTACAGGTTGTACTTATGTACATACATATTTTCCAAAATAAGGTGTTCATTAGCACACATTTTCATTTATTAAGTTTAGTGTGTGTCTGAGTCTGTTGGCTGTCTGTAGCCATCTGTTAAGTTCTGCTGTCATCTGAAATATTTTTATTTTGTGTAGGTTTTCAAAAAATGCTTACTAGCAGAGTCTTTAGAAACTTGATCTGAAAAGCCGTAAAGCATCACATTTTCAATGACTTACGGGAATACAATTTTGCGGTATCATTAATTTGCAGGCATAATCAGATGGAACAAATGACATTCAGCAGGTCAGGTTCCTTAGTTTCTTTAATCTGGGTAGTAAAATGCATCAGGTGTACTGTGAGTTTTTGATGGTCTCTGGCCTACCTGTTTCAAATATATTTGATACTGATGAGAAGATGATAAATACTATTATTGTTAATTTCCTTTTGTAAGGTATTCTGGACAGTGCATCTAGAAATATATTCTTCTGATGCAGCCTTTATGATTTTTTTTCATGTGACAGTAGTTTTTGGAGTATAATGTTTGAAAGTTTTTTGATAACTAGTTAAATTATAATTTGAATTTACAATACTCTTAAAACTTTGTTTCTAAAAGATAGTGTAGATATGACCATATTTTCCTGAGAGGATACTGGGGTGGGGGAGCTTTGAGAGGGAGGGGAGGGAAATTATATACATATGAAGAATTTTTGAATTGGAAAGAGTATTTCCTGAACTAGAGAGATTCATTTTCTTCTTAATAGAAACAAATATAAAGGTAAAACCAAAGAAGGCATACTAAGTGCAAAAGCTTTATTACTTGAAACCAAATTAGTTCATCTTGATGTAAAAACTGGTTTGAACATCTTGCCTAATACTAGACAAATCCATACGTTCATATGCATAACAGTTTCAGTGCATGTTTAAAATAAAGTACATGTAGCAAAGCCTCCTAGGCTGTAAGGTTCCTTACATGTGTTTCTCCTATAACAGGAGAGAGACTTTCAAAGATACGAAGAATAGGTAAGCAAAAGATTGCTGTTAGTGTTTGTTGGGAATTGGGCCTCTGATTTCAGTCTGCTCCCTTGGTGTACAAAAAGAAGTCTGTGCTGTGATTTAAAATAAAAGATTTTGTGGACATCTTGATAAAGCATAGCTAAACCTGGATGCTGTTGAAGTTAAGAGAAGGTAGCTGAGGCATGCTAGAGTCCTTCATATTTTCTTGCAAGTGTCTTTGGCATTGCTTTGTGTGGATTTTTATGCCTCATTTCTCTCTTCCTTTCCTTTTAAAATTCTCTGCATAACACTTAGAGCTTTGATAGCTCTTTGAGCTTCTTGTACACACACCTTTCTCAGGTGTCCATGTGCAGTATATGAAAATAGGACAAGATTTTGCCTGGAGTGTTAGCCTGCTGTGTTCATGAGACAGCAAAGGCAATTTAATGACTTGCTGTGGTCAAAAGGGCTGGTCCTGTGCTCTTTCTTGTGCTAATGTACAGAAAGCTGTTATTCTTTTTTGCTTGGGTTAATTATCTACAGGTTTGGTCAGCTGGATTGGCACACTGAAGAGTCACCAGAGACAGGAGTATGTAGCTGAGAGAAGGGGAGGGAAAGACTGCCACTTGATTGGCAACAGTGTCTTGAATTGGCTGCTTCCTACTTGGAGACCTTCATTCTTTGAGACCTATCCAGTCCAAATGATGGAGCCAGCCACTTATTTTTCCCCTAGTGGTTGCTGAATGTCTCTTCCCCTGCTCTCCCCCCACTCCTCAAAAAAGGAAAGAAAACAAACAAAAAACCAAGCAAACAAAACCTTTCCTACCCCTTGTTCTCTGTATTATGAAAAACTTGGGTTTAAAAATAAAAAGGTTCTGTTTTCTAGAGGTAGGTGCTCTAGCTTTTGAGTCACATCTGTATTTTAAAAAGTAATGAACAGCTCTTAGAAGTTCTGATTTGAGTAAATGACTAATAATTTTTGAGGACTTAAATACTTCTTCAGGATAGTCTCAGTTCTTGCCTTTCATTAGACTGAAGTAGCACTAGCACTACTGTACTTTTTAGTATAGTACTTTTGGCCTTAGCTGAAACCTGGTCATAGAACACCACGTAAAAGTGAGATGGATTTTGCTATTGAAAGGAGACCATGTCTTTTGTAATTTTTAAATCCACTAACTTCCCCCCTTCCCTTCCCTTTGTAATATGCCTATTAGTGGACACAGTTGAACTGGTCTGCAACAGTTTCATTTCTTGTACTGGTGTTTTTAATTCCCTCTGTAGGAAGTCTCCGGTCTTGCAGTTCATCAGACTGCTTTAGTAAAGTGATGCCTCCAAGGAAAAAGAGGAGACCTGCAGCAGGAGATGATTTATCTGCTAAGAAAAGTAGACATGATGGGTATGTCATCTTACCATGAGCTAAGACTACTGGAATATCTAAAGTTGAATAGCTGATATGATCATGTGTTTAAGTACTTATTGAAATGATATTCAAATTTGAATGGTTTCTCAATCTGGAACCATAGCCTGTGGTTGAGCTATGGGATATTGATAAGCACATCTAGGTTCAGTTTGCATCTCACCTTTTTTAGTCATACAAGAAGCTTGTTAGGGAACTTCTCTTGCTCTAGTTTGCCAGCTGTCAAGAGACATACTTGTTTGTTCAAAAACAGCTTCTGAGAGGTACAGTAATATTATCCTGTATACATGCATAAGATCTGGACTGGGCATTCTCAATCTACAGCCTGTCAGAAAAGTGAATGTAGTTGTAGCCTACTCAGCTCTTACTTGAAGAGTCCTGCTAGTCTCTCCCTGTCATGTTGTGATTTCATGCTGGTCATGTAAGGAAAAGGTGAAGGTTGCCCAGGCAAGGTGATAGCCAGTGGTGGAGTGGTGATTGAGTCGGTGCTGCTCAGCTTCCCTCTGGGCCACAGAAGTGCAAGTGGGTTATAACTGTGTGCATGAGCAGTGTATTCTTTCAGCATGTGTTGCATAGCTGAGACTTTTGCAAGTGCTGGATTTGCAGTATGTGTATGTACGGCCAGCCTCAGTCATTCAAAAATCATTGAATGTGTTCCTTCTGTGCAAGATAGTTGCTATTTATGTGCACTAAATTCAGAACTTGTGGGAATACAGGACTGTACGCTCCTGCATGATAGGTGCAGGACTGTCCTGATGTTGAAAAGTGACATGTACAGCCGGAAAGTTCGGTTGCCACTGTGTCAGTCAGTAGAATTTGAGCTCTATTACATTTATTTATTACTGGTGACTCAGAAAAAACATGTTTCCATAACAAGTATCTTCAGGAAGGTAAAAAGACACATTTCTTTCTTAACTGTCAGCCTGAAATCAGGCGGGGTGCTTTCCTTTTTATTCTTTAGCAAGAGTAAGAAAAATGCTGGTAGCCAAATTAAGCCTCTAGTTATGCCTCTATAACTCCATTGTGTTTAATAGGGTTGCACAACTGTAGCTGCAATGGAATTTATTAAATGATCTGTTGATGCAGAAGAAAGAGATTTCAACTCTCCCTTTCATTGCGTTGCATATGTAACACTAGCAAGAACAAAAAAGCAGTACATGTTCTTAATTTTTTTTGTTGCTTTTCAGAAATAATAAAATATAAAAGCTAAATAGTTGATAGAGAACATTACAGCTTATTCAAAGATATGCATACAATACGGAAGTGAAATGAGGACAGAATGTTTTTAGAATCTAAGTAGAGGGGTTCATGAGATTTAACTCTACCTCCCTTTGCCAAGACAGTGATGGTAAAACAAAACAACCCAAACCCCTAGAAAGTAATGTTGTCTGTAAGAGATACTGATTTGTGTAATTCAAGTAAGAAAGTTATGAGAAACTGATTTCTTAACTCTATCAGCAGTGTATATATAAGAATTAAGAGCTTTTTGAAAGCCTAATTTGAAGGATTTTATTTTATATCTGCCTTTCAGTTAATGGGTCTAGTCTTCGTTCTACTGTCATGTAAGGCTTTATTAAAAGGAAGACCTCAGCCTGCTTTTAGAAGTGGAGGTGAAACCAGATCTGCCAGTCATGGGCCACAGGGGAATATCCTTCTCTGGTGTGGTTCCAATTTTTATCTGTCTTCCTTCTTAACTTCTAAAGGTTTTTGGGATTTCTCTGCTTCCCATTGTACAAGTTTCTTTTGTTTTGGTCTTCAAGAAAACAGTTTTTATTTCAGCATGACTGCCAATATGAAATAATTTGCCAAACATTCAGCTCGGTCTTGGAGCTCTATTTTCTTTCAAGGAAGGATTTCTTCAAATTTGACTTATGCCCCTGTACCTTCTGTGAACAAGCTAGTCAAAGAGCAAGCTGTCTCCTGCTTCCATGCTTGTTTGTCAGGTGGAGCTCATGCCTGTCATGTTTGGTCTTTGGAGGTCAGACATCTGTTTGTCAAGCAGAAATCAATCTGAAATCAGGAACCTCTACAGCAGTGTGCTGTAGCAGACCTAGTTATTTGCAAAGCCATTTGCTCTTACATTGTATGCAGAGAATACTGTATACAATAAAAACAATACGGGTACTGCAGTGCCAGTTTATGGAATAAGGGGCTTCTAGGCCCTGTTCTTTACCCTTGCTTCTGTTTTATTAGAGGCAGACTTCCTAGAAGCTGCATACTAGTAACTGAGTATAAGCCTTCAAGGGGCGTGAGCCTGTGTGGATTCTGTTTTAAGCAAAAAAGGTAGTGTCTGCTCTCGAGTGTCTGCTTTCAATGAAAAAATACAATGTGTGCTTTCCAGAAGAGGCTGTATTTCCTAACAGAGATGATTTGCCACTTTAAATGCTTATGGAATGATGTAAGTTTTGTATGTTTCTCAGTTACAGTGGCAAATTTATAGGGGTGACATTAACAAATAAATTCAGTAATTGCGAGTATCCTGTTTGCTTTCACTGCGAAAATGTTAGGTAGTAGTCTGAAGATTATCACAGGAGTGTAGTCATTAATGGTGTTATCACCAAATACCAAATGAAAAAACAAATGAAACCAAATGTTAATGATGCCTCTTGGTTTGTCCATACAAAGGAAATATTAGGATTTTTTTTAATCCTTAATGTGGATAGTTTTGTTGGGTGATATTTTCAGTCTTCACTATTTGTGGTGTGTTCCTATAATATCTTTACCTATGATAGTAATATTTTTGATATATATATTCTTTCCAGAAAGTTTATTTAGTCAGGGATCTGTGCTGAAAGAGAAGATTTCTAAAGACTCTTAAACTCAAACACGTCTGATACCAGGGAGCCTGTAATAGCCTTCACCCTCAGTTACAGGCTGTTAGGGATACAGGCCTCATCTCGGATGGATTAGTGGAATAATGACACTGGCCTCTGAGGAAAAACATTCTCAGGAACAAAACTAGTTGTCAGTAAAGTTATTTGGAAGTGCTGATCTCATGCATAGACTGCTTATGGAAAAAAAGATTCCAAACATGTTCTTTAGCATTCCACCCTTATACAAGAAGAGCTTGAATTCTGTTCATTAATGTTCACGATGTCACCTTGAACCATGAATGCAGTGTTTCAGTGGGAGGGAATTTTTATACCAGGTGATATATAATGAAAAGAACTTGGTGTATTAATTTCTGGATCACAGCAAGATTTATCCTATCTTAAATAATAGCTATTGGAAGTAAACAGTTTAGCACACATGAGAACATAATGACTTGAAGACTTAGTTTGTATTTTCCTCTCAGTATCACAGTCTTGACTTTATTGTACTTAGAACTCTCACAGTACAGGGTATTCTCAAATTTGAGTTAAAAATACGTTTTCTGTATTGCTCTTCTATCATTGTGTTAAGGGCCTTAGGAAAGGTAAAGCAAGATTTATGTAAAGATACTTGCTAGGTAAGAATATAGTTCTCACTGTGTTATTTGTTATATATATCAATTATCTAATGCTGTGTATCTTTTACACAATCTCTAGCCAAATATTGGCTATTTCCTTAGGGAAGAATAAGCTGTATAATGTAATATCTTATCTTCTTTGTGATAGTCTCATTTAAAAAAAATAATTCTCCTCCTAATTCCAGAGTCATGCTGAGGGCAAAAAATCTTATGGTAAGGAATATTTGGACCTTACAAGGATAAAAACTAGGAATATTTATCTGCTTCCCTGAACATTATGTTTTCAAGCAATTAGATCTAGAGTCTAATTTATCCTGGATATATGTGTGGACCACATAAGGGCCTGTTAACATGAAAAATAGATTTTTCTTTATGGAGTCAAAAGCTACATACTCTATCATGGAAAAATGTAAATTTTGAAAACACAGTCAACACACTATTATTAACAGGGGAAAATAAATGGGAGTGTACTAACATTGGAAGTTTTCAAAACCTTTAATGTTGATAGTTTTTGTGTTCTCTTCTTGTTTACTAACTGGCTTGGTCCTGCCCCATGCATACAGTCTGTGTTACCAACTGTCATATATGTCTAGACCTTATTCCTTGAAGCAGAGATTTTCAAGTACGCACAAGTATAATTTTCCCTGTTTCTACACCTTTTCAGTGAACTTCACGTAATAGTTCTGAAGAAACTTGAACTGGACACGTGATGATCAGTATGTGTGGTGTTATACATACTGGTCCTTAAGTAAGCCTGATGAAGTTCAAAACATGAATTTAAAAGTTTAGAGATAATTGTAAGTATCTAAATAGGGAGAGATAAGACATATTAATTCATAAAACTTCGAAGTCAAGTAAATTTGTTCTGAGGGTTGCTTTAGGCAGTCTTTGTCATGCCTTGCAAATCATAAAATATCTCTCTGCTCTGCTCCCCCCCAACTTGTTTCTACTACAGTATTTATGAAACTATTGCTAAACTCATAGTTGTGAATGAATAGGTAAGGTTTTATAAAAAATACTTTCATTGTACTGCACTGATGAAAATTCTCAGCCAAAATTTTAAATTAATTAATTAGAATTAATTGTAGCAGTAGGGAGCATGTTCTTCAATCGAATGTTTGCATCTTTCAAAATATAAATAATCTGAAAGCAATTAGTTACTCAGTTCAAAGCTCAAACAAAATTAGGTAAACATTTTGGGTAAGTTGTGGTTGTATAGAAACAAAGCTAAGTTGGTAAATTTCTTAATGTTTTCATTCAGCAAACACTGGCCATGTGAAATGAGCAGGCTGTAAATCTTCGTGAGGGGTTAACTTTGGACTTACCATAATAAACCGTATCCTTTTTAATTTTTTCCTTTTTTTTTTTTTTCCCCTTAAATGAGCTATTACCAGCTTCTACAATCAAGAGAACATTTTGTGTGACCTAAACTCCATGCTTTCACTGATCTCAGTTTGAATATTCTGGAGCCACACAGCCCAGAATTGCTGCAGTGGTAGGTGGAGCTCTAACAAATTCCACAACAGTTGAAGTTGGCTCAGAGCAGGGGTAGATACCCAACTTTGAAGACTGCAGCAGGTTGACAAGAAGTACCATGACCTTGTTCTTTTTGCTGGCAGCGACCGTGTACTTTTATGATGACTTGCCTAGTCACACCATAATAACTGGATGGAATTTTCATGCTTTTGCTTTCCTACCAAATCAGTTATGAACAGAGGAAAACAAACTGGAAAGATATGGATGATCGTGTATGCAACGAAACATGAAAGGCCTAGACACTGAGGTTTTTTTAATTAGTTTGTTTACATCTACCTATAGCACTTCCAATTACAAACTACATTGTCTCGTCTTTATTGCAGGGATATTACAATTCCCTAGCTCATCAGAATATTTCAAAGATAAGTTTAAAAATGGATGCTATGAGTCAGCTGTTAGGTCACGATGGAGATGCAAGCATTTCTGAGAAAATAACTTCATTTAAATGTAGTTAAGTAGTTGATACACTTTCATAAAATTTAGACAGGTTAATCTCATGTTGCTTTTTCCCCTGCCCTGTCCCACATTCTTTCCTCTCTCAAGTTGGAAAAATGGCTGTTAGAAAGAGACAATAAAAAAGAAAACTCTTTGCCCATAGGTAACTTTTTTTTTCCTTGCTGTTCCTGATGGGTAGCATGTCAGGGTTCAGAAATGGAAGGGCAATTCTAAATGCAAAGTCTCGGAGTTTGCCGTTGTCCAGTAGTGATAGGTATAGCAGGCACTCTGGGAAAAAGTTCTGTATGCACTTTTCTAGATCTGATGATGGAGAAAACACCCTTTAGCAATCTTGTTCCAGTGTCAGCATTCTCTGACAGTGGTACAAATTCTGGTAACAAAAGTACCAGGTATACTTATGGGCCCATCCTTCATGGAAGGTGTCTCTGCGGTTTTTACTCTTCTTCCCCGCTCCCCCCCTTTTTCTTCTCCTCCAGACTCTGAGCAGTATGTACCTTCACTTCTGGTGTGTGACTGAAACTGCAGGTTCCTTTTACGGACCATCAATGCATAAGGAAATTCCCAAACTGTCTCATGGTCAGCATAATGGTTGTGCATGTATTTGAAGGTACTGGTGCTGGTCATCTTGAGGAAGCTCTGAGCTGTTCATTAGATGTTTGGTGCTCCCAAAGTATTCAAGTATCTGCCCTGTGCACTCTGGCAGTTTTTATTTGTCTGCATAGCAAGAAGCACAAAGACGAACATAGAAGCACGAAGCAGCACATAGCATTAGCACAAAGGCGAGGCACATCATCTTGAAGTATGTACAGAAAAATTCCAAGGATACGAGAAATATTCTAAGATACAAAATGGATGCCAGACGTCTCTGGCAGTTTGTGTTTTTCCTCCTCCGCACATAAGGTTCTTGAGACAATGAGACCTGGATTAATGGTAGTTCAGAGGACACAGGCTTTGGAATCACCTTTTCCCTGTGCTGCCAGGTCGGGCTTGCTGTGATAATTGAACCGAATTGTCCTAGGCTGTAATCTCAGATACTTGTCTACTTACTTGCTTTTATCTCCCTGCTCATCTTGCTTCACCAAGCACTTCAGGGATTAGGAGTCTCATGATAATAAAACTAGCTGCTTTGGCTGGACTTGGAGGAGAAACTTATTTGGTATTTGGAGTAAGCAGGGAGAGAACAGGCTTCACCTTTATACATGAGAGATCACTAATAATGGGTCTGCATTGGTGTAACTTGTTTCTGTCGTACTCCTTTTCAAGTGATCCTTGTCTTGCAGAATATGTGACCTGCTATTAGTTCCTTTAGGTTGAGAGAAGGCATCTGAAATTCATTCAGCCATTTTTGTTGCATGGTTTTATACTTCTGGCCGTGCATAGGCTGTTTTCATTACAAATGTGATCCGGTGTCACCTGCACTTTTAACGAATATCTGGCTAATTAGCTTGTAGCAGAGACTGGGATAGCTCAAGATTACAGCCTTTCTGATTTTATTTTCTGAATTTGAGTAATTTCTCTTACTGACACAGGTTGGAAGATCTGTAGTCAGTTCTGGTTTCTCAAAAATCAAAATCCAGTGGTCAGATACGGAGTTTTTTGAACAATAAGTTTGAGGCCAGAGCATTTTTCTTGGGAGTTACTTGACCTTATGTTGGGCACATGTACTTACTAATGAATGTTGTTGTTTCCTGCAGTTCCTAAACCTTAGCCTTAAACACAACAAATTGCTTTCATCCCATATCAGTCATATGAAAACTTGCTATGCTTACATGCAGCGAATGTGTAAAAAGGGCTGCTTTTTTCTGTTCTTGGTCACCATTCCTTTTACACGTACTGCTGTCACTGGTGTCTCGGTTCAGGCTACAGTATTTAGCTCTGCCACTTGTAGATGCAGGAATCCTTTTTCTGAAATACCTGGATGACCTAGAGCTCTGTCAATAAATTAGTTTCTTGAGGGTTCCTTCCCAAATCCACTGTTCACGTACTGACAGCCAATGTGTTTATGAGTTACTGAGTCTTGTGATGAATGTCTTCGGGAACAACATGAGCTTTGCACGTCCTAGGTCCCAGCAGTGCTCTTACAGACTTCTTGAATAAATAGGGTAGAATAGAACAAAGATGTTGACTAGCCCCTGCTACAGTCAGTTTTCAGCTTGGTATTCCAGTTGGTGTTTGTCACGTTTGTTTGCTACAAAAAAGGGGATACTGAATAATTAGATGTTTGCCAAAGTGGCAGAATGCCTCCTTTCTTTTCTCAGGACATTTTTTTGCTTCTGCTGTATTCAGAACAGCCTAAAAAATATTGGATAGGTCTTTCATAATCACAGTTCATTCTGCAAGTATGAGAATGTTATCAGCCCTGTTTTTTTAAAAACAATATTGTTCCAACTCTGACTTAACACCTTCTGGCTTAATTGTTTACTTACTGGGCAGTGCTGTTAGCCTGTTCCTTTGCAACTGCAGTGAAGCTTGTAGAAAGTAGATAATTCAAATAGGAAAAAGTGTTTTCAAAATAAAAAAAAAACACTCACAAATTGTGTGTAGATGAATATATGTGTTTGAGCCAAAAGGCTGGCATTTTTCTGTGGTATTTCAGTTTGTTGCAGGTCAGTGTGTTTCAGTACAGTGTTAATTTTTCTCTCTATCTTGAAATTTAAGAGCCTAATTTGTATTTGTCTTTCAATTAGCAATTTATCATTTTGCTCTGACTAGTACTACTTTTCTAATGGTTAGTTGCTTTAAAGCCGCTATGACAATAAACATAAAATAGTTCTTTGCATTACTGTCAGAATGATCTGTGTGCCATTAACTTCCAGCTACGGTTCCTCATAGCTGATAGCCAAGCTAGGTAGAAGACAGTGGGATCAGTGTACTCTAAGCTCATAAGTATAGACATTTTTTACATGTCTTTCTAGAACGACAAAATGGTGAAGAAATCAACTCCAAATTACTTTCATCAAGTTGTTTCAGAATTCTCCTTGAACCAATTAGCCACTTTGTTGTCCTTCCCCAGCAGGGTTTGACACTGTAGAGGAAGGGCTGCGTGCTTGGAACGCTTACAGAGCCATTCTTGGCTACCTCCTCTAGTCTAAGCCATTTGTTGCTTGGCTCTTTTCAGCCTTTATGAGCCCAAGCTACTGCAGAGTAGTGGAAATGTATCAGAGAACGTGTATGCAGCAGTGAAGAACTACCTGGACTGCTGAGTCTCTTCCCTCTAACAGGCACAAATGATACTGTCTCTGTTTCAGAAAAATTTAAACAGGGTGGAGTAACTCATCAACTTCTGTGCTTTAGGTGTTTCAGCTATGAAATTCAGGAGACTGATACTTCAGTGTTGTTTCCTGAATGTAGTTAAAATTCCTTATGCTTCTTGTCGAAGGAGAGCGTTACCTTGCCGGTCATCTCTGGGGCAAAGGGGTGCTATGGATCACGCTTTTCAGATAACTGTTCACCCCATGATGAATGACGTTCCTTGAGTTGTCAGCGAGGACCTGTAACCTGTTGTCTGTGGTTCTTTTGTGTTACCAACTTACTGGCTTTAGAATAATATAAGTGTGAGTCATGTCTATTTTGGCCTTTATACCTTTTATAGGATTTTTTTGAGGAGGCAAAAAGCATACGTGCCAGTCTCCTTAGTTAGTAATTCAAAGTGCATGAAGTATGTGCGCACCTACAGGTAGGACCTGTGTTGAGTGTGACATGGAATTACTCTGGGTTTAGACCCACAGCCAAGTTGCAGCCCATCAGTTGATTGTGGTAGCCAATGGTGTGCATAACTCTGTCTTGAACTTACACAAAGCAGTTTGGGGTTGAGTATGAACTGGTCTGTATTTGTTGTAAGGAAGGTTCATGTACATGGGTATGGATTATGAATCAGTTGAAGCATGATAGACTGAGCAAAAATAGTATTTAAGTTCAGTGATTCTTACTCTGTTAAACAGTGTCCCAAATGACTGGATATGAGGACAGAATGTTGGGTAAACTGTTTCACGAAAAGAAAAATGTTGCTGCTTATAGTGTCTGTTGACTAAAAGATTGCTTTTAAAAATTGATGAATTAATTACTTGTTTCTCTTTTTTTAAGTATGTATAGAAAATATGATTCGACTAGAATAAAAGCAGAGGAAGAAGTCTTTTCAAGTAAGAGATGCTTAGAATGGTTCTATGAATATGCAGGTAAGGGTGAAATGCAAATTTCCTCCTAATAACAATTTAATCTGCATTGGAATATAAAAATTGCATTAACTGAGCTTTTCCAAGACTAAATATAGAAGCTTTTTTGTAGAAGTTTTAAAGGAGCTTTTCTTATGTTCTGTGTAGAGTGAAGTTGACAAGGGACAATTTTGTCTTTGTGTCTATTCCATAAAAAGAATACAGAAGGTGTGTAATTTAAAATATTTTGGAACATGTATACTTTAAGATTCAAGCCTATAGTTAAAGCTATACTTCCGTCCAAAATATTGTTACCTCTCTGTCTTTAAAAGTTCTGTCATTTGCCATGTTAGTGCTGAATAGTACAGAATTATGCTTCAGGAGAAGCGTGTCTTTAAAAAAAACCAAACAACAAAAACAACAACAACAAAAAAAACCACAGCAGAAAACTTGGGGGAGGTAGTAACATTAGTTTTGTTCGTGATGAACCTGGTTCTTATGGTTTCAAGCAAAGAAGTGAAAAAATTCAAATATCCTATACTAGTCTTTATGTAGTTTTCCATCAGAAGGTATAGGGAAGGTAGCCAGTATTATTTATTCTTGCCCTTGTGTATGGGAACTTTCTTCAGGCATTACTTCTAGGATTGTTAATCAGGATCTGTGGTCACAAAAGATGATCCTTAATATTGAAGTTGGTTGTTGTATTCATTTTTTTTACACGTGGTTTTCTGAAGGGCAGAACTTGAAGTATGGGGAAAAATGATCTCATGACTGTAAAGACCAAAAGGAAATTAAATAGGTGATTGACAAAGAAAATAAGGTCATCTTGCAGATTTATGATGCTGTCTTGGATAACGCTGCTCACAGGTGGTTCTATTTTGTCTGCTTCTTACGCATAATAGAGTGACTTAATTTGGTGTCATAAAATATTTTTTTTCTTCTAATAAAATTATATAAATGAAATTAAATACTTTGAGATCTCACTTGTCTGTGGCAGTCTGTGAGAGGAGATTCAGACAAATTCAAACCAAATCTAACCTGTTAGATTCTCTGCCTTTATGACCCGCTTGATTTATTTTTTTACTCTAGCAACAGGGATAACTCATTTTTGCCAAGACTTATATGGAAAAAAGGGATGAAAGGAAGGCTGTATATGAAAGAACTTTTGGCTTTCCATTGGATGCATACACCAAGATAAGACAGAGAAAAGTGGAGAGTATGGTTCTGCTTACAGTATTGAGGAACATTCTAAAAAATGAATTCAAAGAATAATCTCTTTTGTGTTCTTGCTTCATAAGTCTTCTCCTTTATATATGCAGACAGTTGACACTGCATTTGTTTTTTTTCCTAGTATGCCTTTACATTACAGAGTGAGTCTTTTTAAAGACTGTTGTGTACACTCAGAACTGTGAGAGGATGTCATGGGAAGATGGGAAAAGATATAATTAAACCTTGTTATTTCTATAATAGGTCACCTAATAGTAAAACATAGACTGATCTTCCCATTATAAAACCTCTTTTTCTTGCACATGTGATCTTTATATTGGATGAAAGTAGGCATTTTAGCCTCTAATGTTTTTTTTTTTCCCCAAATGAGCCCTTTTAAACATGAGTAAAATAATTCCAACAAAATAGTCCAAATACTTAAAAAGTACTTAAAAAGATAGAATTGCACAGTACAATTCTTAATGCCGATAGAGTATTGAAGAAGTTACAAACATCTTGATCTAACAGCATGTTTTAATAATAGTGTGTTTTAATAGCATCTATGTTTTGAATCTTTCTTTCCTTTAAGTCAGCAAAGAAATAGCTGTAATTAATCTCTTCCTTCCCCCTGCAGTTACTAAAATTCAGATTGTGGCCATGTGTGGCCATGGTATAGCAATATGAATAAAAAGGAGCATAGGATTTTTGTTTTAGGCTCTCTTTTGTAGATAACATTATATACAGATAGTATGTGAGACAATAAGGAATGAGATTCTGGGAATGATAACATCCTGTTCCCTGTATAGCTATGCATCACATTTTTATGTGATTTTATTTTATGATAACAGTAGAGATTCAAGCCAAGAAATTAGTTTCACTAACTGTCATCCACTCATTTAACCATGGTAATATTGCTTGGATGTTCTGCTAGTCTTAAGTACATTCTTAAAGATCTTACTAATTTATGCTTCCAAGATTATATCAGTAAATGGGTAGAATAAAGGATATTGTCAGGAATGATAAGTTGTTTTACAGTTTTTCTGTCTCTGTTTCCAAAGGTGAGATAGAGATTTAAGTGTATCCAGATCTAATAGTAAGTGTGGAAATACTGATTGCATGTCAGAACAAACAAAAACAAACTGTGTGGAAGTTCAGGTGGTACTGTGTGATTGCATTTGTTTTATGCTGTAAAGGTCAGACTGTTTTAATTTTCAGAGATAAGTAAAATGCATTTTGTTTGCAGGCACTGATGACATTGTAGGGCCAGAAGGTATGGAGAAATTTTGTGAAGACATTGGAGTTGAACCAGAAAATGTAAGTTCGAAGTCCATTCCAAAGATGCCTAATCTGTTATAATGTACATGCGCCAGTCTTGTATCTCTTGTTTTTCATCAAGAATTAAAAAATTCTTGGGAGTTTTTAAAAAAGATTAGGGAAATATAAGCCAGGGAGGTTTATATACACATTTGGAAACAACGTGCTTTTATTTTAAACCGCAAACTGTCAACCTGTAAAAACTCAATTTGTCTTTGCGGCCACCTATTCTCTTTCACTTCCCCTCCCGCCCCCCTAAATAAAATAGAAGCTGATGATTGTCTTTTCTGAAACAATGAAATAACACTGGAGATTTAATGTAGCAACTACATTAGTAGTAAAAAAAAAACATAGTAATGTTTTTCTTTGGGTTTTCTAGGAGAGAAAATTTCAGATATCACGAGCAATATTAGCACTCCTATTATGCCATTTCAAAACACAAATAAGGAATATATAATGACATATATGTTTTATATATATGTATATATAGAAGTAAATAAAATTTTAAAAAGGAATAGTTGTGCCTTTTGCAGGCTTTTTTCTAGTGCCTAATTTTTCCTCATTAAATGTATATGCAAGTCCCGCCTCTTGCAGGATTCATAAAGCATCATCTCTGACTAAGCAACATGAGAATTATGGTTTTGAAATATTTACTGGAAATAAAAGATATAATTTGCTAATTTTGGAGTTTATTAGTATAATAAACCCTTGAGATTTATGCAGACATTTGGGTATATAAGTAGGTATTCTCATTTTGCATTAAAAACCATATAGAGCTGCACTAACATTAGCTAGGTAATGGCTAAGTTGCAAATTTAAAAGACTTGATTTTTTTTTTTCTTCTAGTCTGCAGGGTCAGTTGTCCTGCAAATTTTCCCACGTATATATCAAAAGTGGTTTCTTAAGTTCCTGAATAAGATGGTAATCTCATGGTATCACTTCATCTAAATTCTTTGTTGCTTTAGTCTTCTGTGTGAGATGTGAAAAGGACTCTTGTTTCTTTTTGGACAAAACTGAAGTATTTATGTATCAGCCTCTGTTCTGATGCGTGTTAATGTTAGTTCACCGAGCTTTACTTAACATCTACTTGAATTGTACTGCATGTTCAGACCTGCAAAATTAGATAGGCTGAGGTAACCTGGGGTAGCTGGATTCAGGTGGGATCGTTATTAGCTTTAGAATAATTGGATTTCACAGAGCTCATGGATTGCAACTGATGTTCATCTAGATGAGAATTTAACAAATGTCAAATGTAACTTGTCATCAAATTGGTACTTAAATTTTGTAGTTGTTTTGGGAAATCTTTTCTATAGCTGTAGCACCAGCTCATCTTTGTCACTGCACTGCTCACTAAGATGACTGTGCGTGCTCCCTTGAATTAAGGTGGCTAGTGGTAACTTGTGTGGATGCTCACTCTGTATCTTTGCACTGTTACCTTCTCTGTTGGGTAATCATCCTATCTGGGGTACCCTATCTGGGGTATGTGTAGGTTTGTCATTGAGGTTTTTTAACTTCTGAAATAGTGTAGCAAAGATCTGAACATCCCATTTAGGTGAGTAAAGCATTTGTAGCCTACTAAACGGTAATTTGAAAAAGGTGTGGATTTTTTTGTTAATTCTTTTCAGTCTTCCATTTTTTTTTTTCATTTTAAAACAGGTGGTTATGCTTGTACTAGCATGGAAGTTGGATGCACAAAACATGGGCTACTTTACATTACAGGAATGGTTAAAAGGAATGACATCACTACAGTAAGTACTTTGAAAAACCTCCTAAGTATGTTATAGTAAACCCTTTTTTTTTTTTTTTTAGAAAAAAAATACAATTTGTTTTGACTCATATCACCTAGAGCAGAGAGCTCTACTGTGGAGTGGAAGCCATACATTTTTGATCCTATTGTTGGTGATATGGCCACTTAGACAACTTGAAACCTGACAGCTGCACATTTAAATCCAGTAGGATTATAATGTCTGCAGTCTGAAGAAAACAGAAGTGTCATGAGGTTTGACATTTGTTTCTGATCCCAGGGGCATCTTTGTCACTGTATTGGACCTATCTATTAGATATTGGTATGTTGTTAAAGCATGTGTAGTTTAAAATGCTAAATAACACAAACCCTTTCTGTGACTCTGCAGTGTCCTGTTCTTTCCAAGATTTGCTTTCTCCATTTGAGAGCTTATCTTCATGGCATAATTAACATAACTGTAGTTGAATAATCATATGTTTCATAGAGAGTTGGAGAAAGAACTGTGTTTTGACCTACCTTCCAGAAGAGAATCCCTAAAACTGTGTAGGAAGTCCTATAGTTACAGCAAAACTATAGAAGTATTGTTTCACTGCTGTGGTTTGCTCGTTGTTTGCCATGTGTTGGCAAGCTCTCATGTAATTTAATCTGTTGGAGAGTGCATTTTCTACAAAGCCAAACAAATTTTTATCGGAATACCAGTGTAAGACTTCGCTATTTTATCTAAATCTGTTTCACACTGTGGGTTTGATCAAGGCATTTTATGCAAACTCATAAACATGTCTTTGTACAGAGTGATGTATTTTGAACAGATTGGTGGGGATACACGTTAGAGATTTTTTTCTAAAACATCAGACATCTGTGTAAGAATGCAGACTCTGAATTCACTTTGTGCTTTCCTTGTAGATGTGATACTACAGAAAAATTGAGAAATTCTCTGGATTACTTGAGATCTTTATTAAATGAGCCTACCAATTTTAAACTTATTTATAGATATGCATTTGACTTTGCACGGGTAAGTACTGTGGAAGACTAGCATCTGAAATTAAAACTTTACTTTCGTAAGTAATAGTTGAAAGACTGTATACTTCTACGTATGTTTCTCTTAAGATACCACTGAAGATTGCTTCTAACAAATGGAACTGTTTGTGTTCTAAAAAAGTATATGCAAAATGCCAGAACTGGAAAAGAAAAGTAAATAGGATGCTTGATGTTCAGTGGGTTAGTGTTTTGACATGTTTTGTTACCTCTCTGCTTCAAGCTATTTTGTGACTTCAAGGAAATAATTTAGGCCCTATTGTGTTGCGTATTGGAGCTTTGCCACTTCCACTGGCTTTATAATTACCCTGTTTTTTTTTCTTCTTACTGTTTGCATTTTTGTGTATTGTTAATATTTTTGAATATTTAACACAGGAAGGCACTTCAGGCATGTCTGCAGGTGGCAAAAATAACTAATGTGTTAAAAGCTGGATATGATATAATATAAACACTGTTTCAGAAGACTATTGGAAGGTCATTAATGATGTTCCTAGCATTTATTAAACAATATCCTGAAATCAGTCTTCCTACTATAGAACATATATTGATTAAAATTGTGCCTGGTATTGGAACCCATAATATGCATAAGACTATTCCTACTTAAAGGGAGCAATAAAAGAACTTTAATATTCTGAATAAACATTTTGACATAAAATTTGGACATCCGTTTGGCTAATGTAACATAAAATGATCACAGGCAAAACTGCAGCTCAGATTTCAGTGCAGGAGAACCAAAAGCACCAAGAAAATTTGCAGGAAAAAAAGTTACCGTGAGAAAAATAAGAAGAAATTGAACTGATAGCAATTCTGATAGTTAAGTTTGTCATAAGTAACTCAGATTTGTGGTACATCAGTGCTTTCTGCATGTCAGCCTGCAGAGATTCACAGTAGCTCACTTTTAACCAAGGAAACCTACATCTGAATGTGACAGAATGCATGTTATTAGGTAGTATGAGAGGAAAAAAAGAAAAAAAGCCGTATCAACATCTTAATTCCTCCTTTGCTCTGTGCAGAATTATTCTGCCAGTTTTGCTCAATGTAAAATGCAAAGGCTAGAAATAACTAACATTGCTAAAGAAGTTCAAGATACTGATGAAATATTTGGAACAGACTAAAAAATGTTTTGCTAGTAGCAAATGTGTGCCAGCCGATGGCCTGTCAAAAGTGCGTGCAGAAACTTAAGAGGGTAGTGAGTGGAGTTTTTTCAAGAGGTACCAAACTGATGTGACAAACAGCGGTCTTGAAAAAGAATTTAAACGTTGAGACACAGATGCTGTGACATCATCTGACCTCAGATTGTAGAACTGCAAGTTAAAGGCATATCAGCAGGGGAATTGTCAAAATAATATTAGATTAATACAATTACTGAGCTTCTAATACTATGGAGCCAGGGGAAATCTGTAGCAGAATGGCATCCAGTAAGAACAGAAGCAAATGCTGAGAAAGGCTGATATATTTCTCAAGATGCGGCAGATGACATAATTTTTATCAAAATAATTGAGGTGATTGATAGAAAAAAACCTGATGGGAGCAGTTTTGGGATTTGATTCAGAAGATTGTGTAATTTCCATCCTAAGGGTAGTCATTTCAGGGACATGCTCCATGGCAAAAAACACTTGTCTAAGCTTCTGAAGTTTTAAGAGAGAATTTTTGAAAGTGTCTGTAGTGATTTGGTATTTAGAGTTGGTTTGTCAATAAAGACTAGTACTGTTGAGGTTCTACTCTGCATGCACAATTTAAGTCAGCATGGATTTGAAGAAATTATTTAAAACACCATATGTTGGTATTAAGCACAAAGACATTCCTTGCTCCGTTTGTCAATTGCCAAGTTTGAGAACATACAGATGCATGTATTTCATGGCTTAAATAGGTCTTCATGTGAAATACTGGGGAAAAATAATCTCAGAAAGCCTTGTTTATCATCGATGTAAAACAAATACTGAAATTTATCAGAGTTTGTCAATATATTTTTTTCCACTATATCCAAGAAAGAGAATGTAAGTGTCTGGAATGTATGTTAAGAATGAATTTGGAGCACCTGTCATGGCAGATGCGCCATTAGGCAGTTGGCGGTGGGTATGAAGGGCTGATCTGAAGAATTTGTTCTGGACAGTAGTTGGAGAGGGATGAATGTAGAAACTTAGCAATGTAAGGCATGTTAAAACAGCATGGCCAAAATAAAGGTAACAGAGCCTGATTTCATTAACACTTGAGTGTGTGGGAAGAATTCAGAGTACAAACAGTATGGAAAATAGACGTATTCTCACAGCAGTATGATTTCTGCTTAAAGGTGTTTGTGATAGAGGTGTAAATGGGCTTTGGAAAGAGGATTAGTTTTTAGAAGTGCTTGTTGTTGGAAATAAGTGAAAGAATTGTATGATAATAATACAAAAAACGTCTTTGCAGGTTTGTTTTTTAACTTTATTACATAAACTGAAAAGCTTTGTTCATCCTGGAATTCGCTTTTTTCCTCTAGATCAGATTGAGTGAAGTCCCTCTTGGATTTAGTGACCAGAATGTTAAACAGCTCCTGATGTTTTCAGAGTTGCTGGCCTCCCCACTTTCCTTCCAAAACAAATCTGCATTAAATTCTGTCTACACAATTTTAGAATTGAGGTGTATTTTGCATGAAAAGGGTTTCAAGAAGAGGGGATGACCTTGTGGCTAAGGCATTCGGTTGTTGTCTGAGAACTGGGATCTTGCTCTACCACATCCTTTCTACTTGACAATTCAGTTATGTTTTGAGCTTGTTTTTTTAATGAAAATGTGTGTTCTGTAATATATACAACTGGACTTGTACAGGTGAGGCATAGGGCTCAATTCCTGTTGTCCTGGATAGCTGTCTTGCACAATTCCGTTAGGAACTCTCTGTATCCTGGATATCCCTCTGTCTTTCGTTTAGACTTTGCAGTCTGCAGTCATGAGTACTTACAGAGAGATCAAGGTCTACAGTAGCTAATACAGAACTTTATTTTTTGTGATTGCATTAATTTCTGAATTTGTAGCTATTAAGCAAGGCATAAAAATGGTTTGACATCCCATCTCTCACCAAAATTTGTTTAATTTCAGGACAACAAATGTAGATGGATAAACTACTTAAATAACAAAATGGAATCTCACATGTACACACGTTACTTTTAAGATGTGCAGAAATTGCATTATCAAATAGATTAACTTCCCCAGGGATTAGATGTAATGAATCTGCTGGGTAGAGATGATGCTGCTTTTTCTTAGAAACAAAAAAATTGCCCCCTAAGCCTTATTGTTACATTGAAGTAAAACTGGGACAGTTCTGAGAGGGGTCTCCATGTGCTAGTGTATTATGTTCCTTCTGCTCATTTCATAATTAATTTAATCTGAATTAAATCATGTAATCAGTAGAATAACAGAACAAAGAACCTCCTTAGCTCACTCCTGCATAGTCAGTGTTACTTGATAGCTCCTTAACTGCCTACTGGCAGTTCATGTAGTTGTAATAATACCGCAGGAAATATGTGCAACGATACTATTTTGAGACATATGGCTATGCAGAGGCATACGTGCAAACATGGGTATGGGTCTAATGGCCATTGCTTTCTAGAAAGGTCTGAAGTCACAAACAGGAGTGTATGTTGAGTGATGACAGCTTTTTGGGAAAGTCTATAGAAAGCAGCATCTCTGTATAGCGAGCCAGTAGCTATGAGGAAGGAAATTTTCCTAGGTAGTTGTGTTTTTTTTAAAAGCTACTGTTAGATACTGCTATTTATTATTTATTTGTTAATTTATTTTATGTATGGGTGAGCTGTAGTACAAGCAGTACTTGTACTACAAGGGGGGAGGTGAAAAATCCTGAAACCATGCTCTTTTTTCCTTTTTGACCTTTTGCTTTTTATGCAGGAAAAGGACCAGCGCAGCCTAGATATCAATACCGCCAAGTGTATGTTGGGCCTGCTTTTAGGAAAAACATGGTCCCTTTTTCCAGTATTTCACCAGTTTCTAGAGGTATGAAGTTTGAAACAGAATTACATTTTTTTGCATCTGTCTTCTCTAATACTATAACTAGAGGTAGAATGAACAGCTAAGAATTTTTTGTTCGGATTTAGAATATATTAACCCCCAAAGCAGCACCCGTAACTGGTTATCTTTCTATTTTTCCTTTTCCCCAAATCCCTATGCTGTTACAGTTTATTTAATGCAGGACGAAGTATAGAATGTCTTTGATCTGCTTTTGGACTTTCATTTAATTGCTGTATGTTTGTCCACTAAAAGGTGTCTTAATCAGAAACATGAATTATTCAACGCTAGTTTGACTACTGAGTGGTTTCTTTAATCCTGTTTAGTTTTAGATGGCATACACATTAAAGTAACAATTTATCACAAGGTTTAAATTTTCTGTAAGAAAATCTGAATTTGAGGGACTGGAAAATATATTTTAGTAACTTCTGTTTCTTTCCTTAAGCAGCAATCAAAATACAAAGTTATCAATAAGGACCAATGGTGTAACGTTCTTGAATTCAGCAGAACAATTAACCTTGACCTCAGTAACTATGATGAAGATGGAGCCTGTAAGTACTACCATATGCTGGTGTCCTAAAATAATTTATTTCTTTGAGCTTAGTCATTCAGTGTCCTTTTACAAAATTTTGTAAAATACAGTTATTTGATCTCTCTACAGGGCCAGTGTTGTTGGATGAGTTTGTGGAATGGTATAAAGGAAAACAGATGACATAGGAGTTTAACTATGCACAGCCACTCAAGAGTCACTGTTACCACAGTTATGTCAACCATTAGCCATAAACTGCTATTTGTATCAAAGTGCATGCTGCTTTTCTTGCACTGCATCCCTTTTGCAGGGAACTTTTGATGTTTGCTATTTAACAAGCTAGCTATGCTTGCTGTGTAGCATTGTTCTCTTTGAAGGCTGCTTTGCATTTTGTATTTACACTACGAATTGGTGAACTTGCCAGCGTCTTCACTGTGATTATGTGTATATTGCTGTCTAAATTTTGTATATGTGTATAAAAAAAAAGCTTCACCTAGGGATTATTTCTGCAGAAATGTATTGTAAAAATAATTCTGTGGCATATTTCTAGTCATCACTTACATGTTTGTTGAAACCTTAGTTATTTTGTTTTTCTTTTGGTCTCAAATGTAGCATTTCAGAAAATGAAAGGAACAGACTGCTTGGACATAGTCATGTGAACTATTGTCAATTTTAATGTTACTATTTGAGATGCCAATTTCAGGGGGGGGAGGAGACATGCTGTGACTTTCTTCACCGGAATTCGCCAAACCTGACCTATTGCTTAATAGGAATGAAACATTGGTGTCTTAAAAAAAAATATATATGCACATATAAATATTAAAACACTGTAAGAGTTGTACATGCCACAGATGATTTCCATTTGAAGAAAAAAGTACTGACTTTTTAATGTTAAAACTGCAGTAGTCATTACAGGTACAAATGAACAAATTAAAGTACCTTTTAAAAATGGGTTTTAGACTTTTGTAAATTGCCTTTGGCATACGCCTTTTAATTTTTGGTGTACGAGGAGTGCTTGGTCTCTGTTGCAATCTAGTGAAATTGAAAGCTCTAGCTAAAATGAGTGGTTTGGGGAATAAAGTCTGCTCACCCCTAGCACATAATATAGGTTTTGGTTTTTTGTTTTGTTTGTAACATTAGTCTTTCCCAAGGTCTCTAACTTTGTGTTTCTAAGCAATTAAAAATATGATATTGAGTAGTGAAAACATTACTTTTTCTTTCATGCTGAGGATTGGAATTTCCTAGCAGGATGTCCATTGCAGGCAATGGGCATCTTAAACACCAGCATTAAGTGACAGTACTTTTTAGTACGGACCACTGCCTGTTTCACTCACTTCTTTATCTGTATAGGGCAGTTCTAGTGATTATTTTGGGGAAAATGAGTGAATGGAATGATGTTTAAGTTCAGTAATTTTGTCACGTTGTCTTTGCCTTACCCTCTTTTATTAACTGATGTTACTGTTGATTTTTATAAATAGGTCCTTGAAGTATCCGGTGCTATTAAACTTTGATCCCTAAGGATTTATTAAAATGTTCCATATTGATTCACGGAGCATTTAATAAAAAAGGGACAGTGGATGTTTTGGAATGAAGAGTAACATTACTTTTCTGTAGAAATATTTTACAAGGTATTGGCAGTTTTGCTATTTCTCTAGAATGCAATCCAGGGGAAGGGGGGAGTGAGGCGTTTTAGGTTGAATGTGAAATTTTCAGCTGTATTGAAGGTCCAATTCTGCCATCACTGAAGTCAGGAACAACTGTCACTAACTTGACTACTTTCAGGATTAAGCCTAGTTTAGCAAAAGCACATTAGTTTGCTGCCCTGGACCAGGAGGTTGTAATTGTGGTGCTACAGGTGGTCAATTGTGTTCAAATCTGTTTGTTGTTGGTTTTTGTTTGTCAAACTCAGCCACCAAAGACAAAAATTGTTTGTGAGTGTTTGTGTGTATTTGTATATACATAAATATACAATATGTATGCATATACAAAACCTAGAATTTCATGATGCTAAGAAGAAAATACTACCTTTCCCTGTGAAATATCATGTTTGGGTTTCCATGACACTAAATAGTGCTCTTTAAAGTTAATAATAGTGGTAAAACATACATAGTCATTGCTTTCTCATGTACTAGTACGCATAACCTTAATTCCATGTTTGATGCCAGTTTGCACAAGAAATTAATTCAGTGGAGTGTGGTATTTAATGTTTACAATAAGCCTCTTTCTAAAACAAACATGTTTTATTAAGACTTCTGATGTAAATGTGTATATTGCCATAGTATAACCGTAACGAAATATCAGTGGAGCTGCTGGTTTAGTTCTTAAAAGTATGAACTTAGAAGCAATATAACTCTTTAACAGTAGGCTAAATGGTGGTTGCTAAGATTTTAAGTGAAATACTGTAATTGTTCTCAAATGTTAAGCTAGTTACTGACTCTAGAAAACTGTTTAGCACAAATTGGCATGAATTCTGCAACAAATACAAGGTTAGCATAAAAGGTTTTGTATGTCACAAATGATTCGACTTCCAGTAATGGAAGCAAGAGCCAAAGACACTTTTAATCTATTACTGTTATAGGTATAACTTTCATATAACAGGGTCAACAGAAATCTGTTCAGCTCAACCAGGTGGTCTTTTTTCCAAGTCTTGCTAATGTTTAGCAGAACACAAAATTTAATTAAAAGCAAGGAAAATAGAGTAAAAGAAACCTCAGAAAGTACTCGTGCTGTATAAAGTAAACAAACTCCACTTTTTCTTTGGGTAAAAGTAGTCAGGAGTGATGGAAAGAAAGAATGTGTTTAGAAATGAATCTGTTAGATGATGCAAATTTTTTTTCTTCCACTTGCAAACAGGATGATTCTGTAGTGTTCAACTGGTTTATAAACATGCATCTTTGTAAAATAAACCACAAACTCAATTACAGCTAGTAGACAGCTTTACTGACATAGAGAACAAATGGACTAAAATGGACCTGTGTGGCTTGATAAGCTTCACTGTGCTATCCATCCTTCTGTTTTTGCTATATATGCTGATAAGCAGAGGATCCTAACAATGCCAGCTCTTGTATTTTGGAGAAATTCTGCCTCATTTTTAAATAATTGTGGAAACTTGACTAAGCTACTCAGTTTACCTTGCATTTAGTGCAACTTTGATTGCTTTTTTGTTATGCCATCATATAGTTGATGTAGGGGTTTTGTTTTGTGTGTGGTTTTTTTCTCTTTTGAAAAGTAATACACAGATTATGCTGATGACTTGGACAGGACACTGAGAGGTCATTCTGGCAGAAATGTCACGGGTCTTATGCTGATCTTTCTGGTATACTGTTACTGTCCTTATAGCAGAAACTTGATGATCTGTGTGCAATTCATGCTTGGTATTGGGGAGATGTAAAGTGGAAAGCCAGTTAGTGAAAACAGCATCCAGAGACTATAGCAGTGGACACTAAGTTGGTAGATGACAAACATTTGGAGCTCTTTGGACTTGATGATCTTAAAGGTCTTTTCCAACCTAAATGATTCTGTGATTCTATTAATATTAGTAGTGAAACATTCCACAGATTTAATTCTACAGCAAAATAATATTAAGTATTTAAAATATTAGTATAATTCTGTGTTCCTGTTTTTTCACTTTTTATCTTTTCCAAGGAAAGCAAGCTGAAAAGGATGGAATTTATTGGAATCCTTATGTACTTGAGTTTTCAGTTAAAACCTGTTTAAGGTTGTCTTTAAGCTACAATAAACACTTGGGTTACCTTTGTGTAGCCTTTTCTAACATTTGTAGAGGACTGGAGGCTTCTCCCATTTTACCACAAGTACATGCATTTTATTTCATCACAAATATGCTCACACAATCAAAATTAGTTACAGCTCATTGCTACTTGGTTACGTTCCCAAGTTACTTTTTTGGAGGGCAAGAAATGAACTTCAGTTGTTTTAAGGTTTTCCCAGATTTCTGTTGACCCTTGGTCACAAGTCTAACAAATTGTTTAATACTCTTGAAATTCATATAGACAGCTTTAAAGGTTGGCTTGTGCCCTAGTTTTAATTATAACTGCTAAAATACCTCTTTCTACGCCTTATATTTTGTCCTTTCATATTGCTGTAAAAGTGTATAGAATCCATCCACCAACTAGTTTATTGTCTGTAATTGAGACCAAAACTTGGCTTGATATTTTTTTGTTTTCATTTTTTAGATATTTCCCCGCCTCTGTGTGTGTGTGTGAGTGTGTGTACATGTGTTGTCACAAAATAGTACCTACTGACACTGCTGTTGCAGGAACAGCAGTTAACCTGTAACTGTGAATGCTTTATGTCTTAGTTATTTGGATATTACATAAATAAGGTGTGCTAAACTCCTGTGACACACAACCTGACAAAAATACTGTTACACCACCTAACATGAGTTCATCTGGTTGATTTTTAGGTCTTTTGCTGGTGTTGATGTAAAACAGCATCCCACAAATAAACAGTACTTGTGTTGGTTTCAGCAACTGACTTCAGATTTTTCTGTGATTCGTACGTTAGAAATTCTCATATCTGAACAAGCATCACGTCAGCTGGCAACCTTTGTCATTTAGTAGCAGAGAACTTGTATGTACAATCTTGTCATCCTTATTTCTAATAGTAAGGCAAATCGGTATTTAAAACTTTGTTGGAAAAAGGTATGTTTCAAACAGAGCGTGTGGGTGTAAAATAGTACTGTAATACCAAAAGTTTCTAACAAAAAGAGTCAATTTGAGCAGGAATTTTTTTTAAGACAAAATTAAGATACATGATCATTACCTGCTCATCTCAAAATAGGCTTTTGGCCCATGAGGTCCTCGTAGAAAAGCTGTTGATGTATGGGCTGGATGAGCAGATAGTGAGGTAGACTGAAAAATGTCTGAATGGCAGGGCCTAGTGGGTGGTGGTCAGCAGGTCAAAGTCTACTTGGAGGCCAGTGGCTAGCAGTGTATCCTGGGGTCAATGCTGGATCCAGTCCTGTTCAACATCTTCATTAATGACCTGGATGATGGGGCAGAGTGTACCCTCAGCAAGTTTGCTGATGACACCAAACTGGGAGGAGTGGCTGATACACCAGAGGGTTCTGCTGCCATCCAGAGGTACCTCAACAGGATGGAGAAATGGGATGACAGGAACTTCATAAACAAGGAGAAGGGCAAAGTCCTGCACCTATGTAGGAACAACACCAGACACCAGTATATGCTAGGGGCCACCCAGCTGGAAAGCAGCTTGGCAGAAAAGGGACTAGAGTTCCTGGTAGACACAAAGATAAGCCAGCAATGTGCTCTTGCTGCAAAGGCGGCTAATGGTATCCTGGTCTGTGTTTTAGATAAAATATTGTCAGCAGGTCAAGGGAGATGATCCTTCCCTTCTGCTCAGCACTTGGTGAGGCCACACCTGGAGTCCTGTGTCCTCTTCTGGCTCCCCAGTACCAGAGACACTCAGACATCATGGAGAGAGTCCAGCAAAGGGCCATGAAGATGATGAAGGCACTGGAGCTTCTGTCCTGTGAGAAAAGGCTGAGAGACCTGGGACTGTTTAGCCTGGAGAAGAGGAGGTGTTGGTGGGTGGATCTTCCTAACGTATGTAAATATCTGAAGGGAGGGTGTAAAGAAGATAGACTAGGCTCTTTTCAGCAATGCCCAGTGACAGGACCAGAGGTAGTTGGGCACAAAGTGAAACACCAAAGGTGGCACCATCTGAACATTAGGAAGCACTTTTTACTGTGAGGGTTACTGAGCACTGGCACAGGTTACCCAGGAAGGTGATGAAGTCGCCATCCTTGGAGATACTCAAAAGCCATCTGGACATGGCATGGGCAGCTGGTTGTAGGTGGCCCTGCTTGAGCAGGGGAGTTGGACCAGGTGATCTCCAGAGCTGCCTTCCAACCTCAACCCTTCAGTGATTCTGTCATTTCTAAAAGCATATGCTAAAGAAAATTCTCAAAGTT